GGATGTGCACGTGAAGTTCGCCTGCTTGAGGCCGTGGCCCACTTGCAGGCTCAGCGCGTCGATGATGCCATTCAGAGCATCTTTCGCTCGCAAGGCGTTGGTTTTCACACCAGATGAGCACCAGCAGCATGGCCGGCGACGATGAACTGCTGGACGTCACTGCACTTCCAAAGACGTGGACCGTGCTCCAAATCGCAGTGCTGCCTGTTGTCGATCGTCTTGCCGTTGTTCTGGTGCGAGACGGAACAAGCCAGCTGTTCTTGTGTGACAACGGTGGTGACACGCTTGAAAAGCACACCCAAGAGCTGCATCGAATCCTCAAAGGAACAAGGGCCTCCATGTCCATGCCAATGAACACGGACAGCGAGCTGCGTGAATGGCACGAAGTCCGCAAGCAGTTCGACGCTGGCCTCGCAGACCTTGTGCAAGGCCTCGACGCCATGCTTTGCAGCACCAAAAGTCCAAAGCTCAAGAGCCGTCCTCTGGGTGAGCTTTTGGACAGAAAGGTCGCCGATCAGCACACCATCCTCATCCTTGGACGCGAGTCACACGCACTACCGTGGGAGTCTGCGCCGTGTCTCAAGGCCACCAATTGCTCTCGCGTTCCGTGCATGCAATTCTTGTTGCATCGTGTCGCCATGCAGCAGCAAGAAGCGTCCTTCCCCATTGACCCGACACGAGGCTTTTACATTGTCAACCCGAGCGGAGATTTGAAGCGAACGCAAGACACGTTCTCTCCGAAAATGACCGCCGTAGCATCGTGGTCCGGCCTGATTGGTACGACACCCGTGGAAACGGTTGCGCAGGGCATGACAGACGCGTTCGCCCGCGATGATCTCGTGCTGTATCTGGGCCACGGTGGGTCTGAACGCTTTGTCCCGTCCGAGCGCTTGCGTCGAGTCGAGTCGCACGCGGCCACCCTCTTGATTGGCTGCAGCAGCGGCTTGCTCAAGTGTCCAGGCGTGTTTGAGCCTCACGGACGCGCGCTCGAGCATCTTTTGACGGGATGCCCCGCTGTGGTCGCGAATCTATTCGATGTGTCTGATCGTGAGATTGACAAGTTTACAGAAACGCTTTTGGCCGAGTTTCTAAGCGGGTCCAGTGAGCTGTCTCGCGCTGTTCGCACTGCGCGTGGCGCCTGCCGCTTTGGCTACCTCAACGGAGCGGCCCCTGTCGTTTACGGCCTGCCGACGATTACAACCTGTGCCGTTCCCGGATTTGTGCCGCAGAGTGATGGGGACGCTCTCGTGGATGACATGTTCAAGCTGTCATTGGACCGGTCCAGCGCTTGCCTACCCCCACCAACGCTTGCTCGAAGCACGACCGGTCGCGCCAAGATGAAGTACAGTGCGTCAACAACAGAACCAGCTGTCGAGGCTGCCCCCGCTCCTGCTGCCGTCTCTGTCGCCGTCCCTGCTGCCAAAGCGAGGAAGGGCGCAAAGGCCTCAGGTTCCGCTCCAAGCACCGATCTTGCACCTGTGCCTGCACCTGCGCTCGAAGCCCCGGTGGAAATCGTCCGACCAGCGCTCAAAAAGTCCGTCAGTGAATCGACCGTTTTGTCACGCATGCCAAAACGCAAGGCCGATGCCAAGCCGTCTGCCGTTGTGGAAATTCTTGACGACGACCCAGCACCCGTCAGTGAGCCTACCGTCCTGTCACGCGTGCCAAGGCGCAAGGCCGATGCCAAGCCAGCAGCAATTGTTGTGGAAATTCTTGACAACGACCCAGCGCCAAGTAGTACCAGCGACATGCAAACAGAACCCGTACCGCCAACTCTCACACGCACTCGCTCACGCGCTCCAGCTCAGTCGGCGAGTGCGAGTCGCCGCGTTTAAATCTGTTCAGCGAAAGAGACACACAAGTGTTGAGCTTTTATCTATTTTTTTGTTGTAAATTTTTGTGCTATTATCAAAAACTCAAACAGAAACACAAACCAAAAAACAAAAGCTTGTCTCGCAGTCGTACAATAATGAGAAGACACAAAGATAGGATGAAGAGCAGAGCGAAAACAACCAAAACTAGGCTCGAAGAGCCATGATTTGCTTGGTCACAATCTTAGTGCACGTTTGCGCTCCGGAATCAAGAAGCGCTCAATGCACTTGACGGCAATCTCCTCTTCTTCGGGAGCTTCTTCGGCGTTGTCGCTCGAGTCTGGCTTCGACTCTGCTGGCGGCTCACGGACA